CAGCTACGACGGCTACCGCCACAACCCCAACTAGCGTACCACTCACGAAGCTGCTGGGGCGTGAGAGACTCGCGCGGACGTCGCTGGAGCTGCATCTGGCCACCGCCAGTAGCAGCAGTAGCAGTAGCCTAGCAGTAGTAACAGAAGTAGCAGCAGTAGCAGCGCGAGTAGGGCAGGCGCGGCAGGCAGGCAGGTAGACAGGCAGGCAGGCTGGCGGGCAGGCAGGCAGGCAGATGGCGCGGCAGCGCGCTAACAAGGCAGGTGCTCACCAGTGGCGGGAAGAGCAGGCGCTCGCCGGGCGAGCAGGGCCGGCGCTCGGCGGGCGGCTGCACGGGATCCAGGGGCGGCGTCGCGGGTCCAGGGGCGGCGTCGCGGGATCCAGGGGCGGCTGCACGGAGTCCAGGGGCGGCTGCACCAGGGGCGGCTGCACCAGGGGCGGCTGCTTCAGGGGCCAGGGGCGGCTGCTCTGGGTCCAAGGGCGGCTGCACCAGGGGCGGCTGCTTCAGGGGCCAGGGGCGGCTGCTCTGGGTCCAGGGGCGGCTGCCCGAGGGTCCAGGGGCGGCTGCACCAGGGGCGGCTGCTTCAGGGGCCAGGGGCGGCTGCTCTGGGTCCAGGGGCGGCTGCACCAGGGGCGGCTGCTTTAGGGGCCAGGGGCGGCTGCTCGGGGTCCAGGGGCGGCTGCTCCAGGGGCGGCTGCTGCAGGGGCCAGGGGCGGCTGCTCTGGGTCCAGGGGCGGCTGCTCTGGGTCCAGGGGCGGCTGCTCGAGGGTCCAGGGGCGGCTGCACCAGGGGCGGCTGCTTCAGGGGCCAGGGGCGGCTGCTCTGGGTCCAGGGGCGGCTTCACCAGGGGCGACGTAGCTGGTGCAGGGCAGCGCGCGGGTCCCACAGGCGCCGCGAATGGCGACGGGGGGCAGCGCGCAGGCCAGGCGGGGCCGCGTCGGCGGCAGGGTCGGGCCGCGACAGCGGCAGGGCGGGGCCGCGTCGGCGGCCGTAGAAAGCAGCGCGATGGCTGCGAAGCGACGCGCGGGGCAGGAGAAGGCAGCGCGGGGGCTGCGGGGCGGTGCACGGGCCTGACAAGGCAGCTAGCGGGCTACGCGCTGGGCTGACGAGGCAGCAGGCGGGCTGCTAGTGGGCTGTACGAGGGCCAGCAGAGGCGAGCGCGAGGGCTGCGCGACGCAGGGCATTGTAGGCAAGGGGCGGGGTAACTCGGTAACCGGCGGAAAACGGTTGGTGGGCCCTGAAAAACAGTCCTAAAACGGTCCTAAGGACCTATGTTGCTCTTAATACCATGTCGAGAGTAAAGGGAAAAGGTCGGTGCACTATCGAGAAAGTTGGGTACAAGTAACAAAAACTATACCCTACATTAGCTACCCCACTAAAGCCTACATTATATTATGACATAGACATATAATTTGACACAGTTCGTTTCGGAACTTCAAGCAGCACGCGACAAAGCAGCGGAGTTTATCCGGAAGGCTAATACTGTCGCCAGCCGATATGCCGACCGACATCGACGGAACTTACCCTTCCGTACCGGGCAGATGGTCCTCCTGGACACGAAGAACCTAAAACTGCCTTAGCCTGCAAAATTGCGTCCCCGCTCTGTGGGGCCTTTCCGCATCATTCGGATGCTGACCCTGGTCACAGCGAAACTCCTCCTACCGGACGACTGGAAAATCCACGACGCTTTCCACGTCAGTTTGCTCCGCCACTACGTGGCACCGCAGCCGTCCGACGTCGCTCGACCCAACCCAGCGCCAAGTGTCCGCCCGGTGGCAGATCCGACACTTCAGCCTTGGAAGATATTGAATCATCGCACTCACGCGACCCCCGCTGGACGACACGTCGATTTTCTGCTACGCTGGGTGGATCGCACAAGTGAAGATGACACGTGGGTCCCGGCTGACTCACTACAAGGCCACTCGGTACTTCGGGATTATCATTCCCGCCGACGCGTGCCTGATATTGACCACCTTTCTTAAGGGGGGGGGGGGGGGGGGGGTAGTGTAAGGAATTTCGCTAATTCCTTACTGAGGCATTTCTTACGCGTACAATTCCAACTTTTCGAAAGTCAGGCTCAGTCCGTCGACCTCGCCCTCCGAACGTCCTCCGCGTCGCCTTCGGGTTTCCCAACTCCAAACCTGCACCCAGGGCTCAGGTTTGCAGTGTAATTTACCCTTCTATACTGATTACAAGGGTGAAATTTTGGGTCTACACTGATGTGCTGGGGTAATTTTTTTATGAGTTAGTGTTACACTGATCTGTAAGTGTATCGACGTAGGCCACACTGATGCCTTGGGGTAAATTCTCCCTTAGAGGAGATTACACTGAAGAGCGTACAGGGACCCCCCCCCTCCCCCCCCCCCCCCCCTCCCCCTCTTCCCCGAAATTTGTCAGATCGTGATTTCCGATAATCATGCAAGTACCGAGTATTTTTTCCGTGCAGTACGAGCGTTGGCCGCAGTGACGTGTCCGAGGAATGATTCCCTTTCCAGCACGCCATGAAACCGAACCTAGGTGTTACCTGTAATAGTTTAGGACTTAGCGAACATCTGTCAGTGTTTGAAAAAAAACCACACTGGTGATGCAGGGTAAAAAAATCAAAACCTGATGTTACAATGCTCTATCAGTGTAACGAGAAAGTACACACTGCCCATAAGGGTTTTTGAAAAAGCTACACTGCCAATCGTGAGTAGGCCAAATCCAAACCTGAGCCCTGCCTGCACCCAACCTTCGCGCGACTCCGCGACCTCGGCCTAGCTAGCTTTGCTATATTTTGCCTAGGCCTCGTTGTTTGCGCAGTAGTTGTAATCACTTCAGCGTTATTGAATACTGTGCACTCTTCTTTCATACAACTCGTAACAGAGATGGCGACCCTCGGGGTTGGGAACATCGAGCTTTTCGGCTGAAGCAACGTTATCCTCGGTTCTGGCCGCCGTCTGCATCAGCAGTCCCTCACTTGCTTCGTTCACCCATGCCGCTCTCCCTCACCACGCGCACTAGCCTAAAGTGCACTGCTTTCGTGCAGTGAATTGCTGTCATACTGAATTGCTGTTATGGCATCTTTACAGTCAGCAGCGATTCACGGCGCGTTAGCTGCCGAAGTCGCAGGAAGAGCCGCAAAACCCGATTGTTGGAGCGACGCTGCCGTGATTCGTGGCTCTTCCAGTCCGGCCTTGTACCAACCGCACTGGCCGTCAAATTGCCATCCCTCGTTCGCGATCCGTCGCCGCTCGACGCGCCAGTCGTTATCTATTTCGCCACGGCTATCCCATCCGCGCCGTGTGCAACCGTCGCGATCAGCGCGAAGCGGCAACGGCAGATTTGAAGTTCCATTTGCGAGAGGTCCGTTGTTATCAGGAGAAGGAGAGCGATGTTGTTTCGGGCTTGCATGCAGGTCATCGATTGTGCGTTGCCGGGCGTCCACGTCACGTGGCCCTGACGACCAATCAGAGGCAGAAGCTGTGCCATCACGCGAGCAGGCCAAGGCGGGTGATGCGGTGCTCGCCTCGGACAGCGCGGATAACGCGGATCGGCCTTCCCAAGGGCCAGGCGGCGGCAGCAGCAACAGGGGTGCGGCGAGCTACAGCTCCTCCCGTGCCGCAGGCCCCACGCGTCCCGCGTCTCTCGCCACGGAGCCCTCTGCCGCCGCTGCCTCCGCGCCTGCTGCGAGAGCAGGAGCAGCGCGCGGGGACGATGGTGCAGGAGGGGGGACAGAGAAAGCAGAGGAGGCGGGGGAGGAGGGGGAAGAGGGGGAGGAGGGGGATGATGGGGATGATGGGGAGGAAGGTGGGGAAGGGGAGGTGCGTCGCACGTTGTGGTTTCCGTTGAACCTGGTGGCGGCGGCGGCGGCGGCGGTGGCGCAGAGCAGGGTGGCGCGCATGGTGGCGGCGTGGCCGCTGTGGCAGCAGAGGCGGCGGCTGCGCCAGCTGCAGGAGGCGGCGGACGGCAGTCCAGGGGACGCGCGCAGACAGGCGGAGTACCTGGCGGAGCTCCTCCGTGCCGAGTCAGTGCCGCGCGCCCTGCGCCCATCGCCTCCCTGCCTCCCCCTCCCGCTGCCTCGCCTCCCCATGCTGCTCGCTTCCCTGTCCCGGTCCCATCCGTCTTCCCCCCGTCGCATGCCTCCGCTGCCGCCCGCGCTCATGGGCGTGCAGCCTTGTGCAGCCATCTCAGCCACGGGCCATCCACGTCATGCCGTCCATACCCACCATTCTACGCTTAACCTGGCCCTCGCTATTATCTGTTATCCTCCATCCCTCTCCCCTCATTGCTCTTCCCCCTTCTCTCCCCGTGCTTCTCTCGCTTCTTTCCCCCTTCCCCACATCAGCCCCGGGGCAGTGGTGCAGCGCTTTGAGGCGCGGCAGCATGCGGCAGACGCGGAGGGAGTGGCCATCTACCTCAGGGCTCTCGTTGCCACCGACCGCCTCTCTTCCTTCCTCCCCTCCCATGACAACGCCCGCCCCGCCTCCCTCCCCTTGCTCGTACGCCCCCCTCCCCTTGCTCGTACGCCCCCCTCCCCTTGCTCGTACGCCCCCCTCCCCTTGCTCGTACGCCCCCCTCCCCTTGCTCGTACGCCCCCCTCCCCTTGCTCGTACGCCCCCCTCCCCTTGCTCGTACGCCCCCCTCCCCTTGCTCGTACGCCCCCCTCCCCTTGCTCGTACGCCCCCCTCCCCTTGCTCGTATGCCCCCATCCCCTTGCTCGTACGCCCCTCTTCCTGGTTGTATGGTTCTTCTCATGGCCGGTGCGCCTTCCGCACACGCTCATGCATACTCCGCCTTCTGTTGTCGCCTCACCATCACACCCACCCTTGCTGACGTCATCAGCTGGAGGATTTGAAGCAGCGCGCCACGTCAGACGAGGGCCAGCTGGGGCTGCCACCTGGCACCACGGAGCAGACGCCCCTGCACGTCGTCATGGTGGGTGCACGTGGTGACGGTCGGTGCACGTGGTGATGGTGGGTAAAGCGTGGTGATGGTAGGTAAAGTGTGGTGATGTGTGTGTGTGCGTGTGTGCGTGCGTGCGTGCGTGCGTGTGTGTTGGGGGGGGGGGGGGGTGGAGTGGGGGGGGTAATGGTATGTGTATGACAAGTCATGCATCTCATCTCATCTGCTCATCCGTTCTGCACTGTGCATTTGCTCACTGTGCTTGGCATTGCTTCCACCCCACTTCGTTTTCTTGCATATGCACCTGCTTCCACCTCTTCCTCTCCCTCCCACTGTGCTGCACTGCACTGCCAATCACGCCCCACCCCCGCGCCCCATGTCACCTGCACGGCACGCCACAGGTGGAGAGGGAGGTGAAGCCGCTGTCACGGGGCCTGCGCGTGCTGCAGGAGCTGCTCTCAGCGCTGCTCGCCTGCTTCCTCGGCCTCCTCATCTGGTTCGCCTCCTCATCTGGTTCGCCTCCTCATCTGGTTCGCCTCCTCATCTGGTTCGCCTCCTCATCTGCTACCAATCTTGCCCACCAGCTTGCCCCGTTTATTTTGCCAGCATTCGAAGCTATATTGCCGCCGTGCATGCCCGCCTGTGTGTACGAGTGCATGTGCTCAGGTGCAAGCATGGCTGGTTCATCTGTATGTGCATGGTGGTGCTCATGTGTGTGTGTGTGTGTGTGTGTGTGTGTGTGTGTGTGTGTGTGTGTGTGTGTGTGTGTGTGTGTGTGTGTGTGTGTGTGTGTGTGTGTGTGTGTGTGCACATATGTGCTTGCTGCACCTTGGCAGGGCGGCAGCAACGACGGCGTTGAGGCGCTACGCCAGTGGAGTGGCCGGCATGGGGGGTGGGGGGATGGCGGGGGGCCCAGCAGCGGGCATGGGGGCGGGCGGGGCGGGCGTGTACTCGCCCAAGGAGTATAACAAGGAGACCATGCCCGAGAAGGTGAGCGGCTGATGGCATGCCTGAGCAGCTGAGAGCAGGCCAGAAATGACAGAGCAAGTGAGTGGTCAAGGGTGTGTCAAGAGGCAATGCTTCACTGTCAATTTGGCATGCCTTGATCGCCTCCCCACTCGTGCCCGTTTCTTTCTCGTCCCTGCTCTCCCTTCCCCCCTCTCCCCTCGTGCGCCCATGCGCTTCTTGGTCAGAGTGTGCGCACGTTCAAGGACGTGCGGGGGTGTGACGAGGCCAAGGCGGAGCTGGAGGAGATCGTGGAGTATCTGCGCGCCCCCGACCGCTTCACCCGCCTTGGGGGCAAGCTGCCAAAGGTGAGAGAGGGGGGGGGATTTGGGGCGACAGAACCTGATGATGGGGGGGAAAGGATGGTGAGCGTCTTCTCTTCCGCCTGGACTAGCTTGCCCTCTTGCATCTCGCACCACCTGTGGTTAAGCCTTTCTCTTGCATCTCGCACCACCTGTGGTTAAGCCTTTCTCTTGCATCTCGCACCACCTGTGGTTAAGCCTTTCTCTTGCATCTCGCACCACCTGTGGTTAAGCCTTTCTCTTGCATCTCGCACCACCTGTGGTTAAGCCTTTCTCTTGCATCTCGCACCACCTGTGGTTAAGCCTTTCTCTTGCATCTCGCACCACCTGTGGTTAAGCCTTTCTCTTGCATCTCGCACCACCTGTGGTTAAGCCTTTCTCTTGCATCTCGTACCACCTGTGGTTAAGCCTTTCTCTTGCATCTCGCACCACCTGTGGTTAAGCCTTTCTCTTGCATCTCGCACCACCTGTGGTTAAGCCTTTCTCTTGCATCTCGCACCACCTGTGGTTAAGCCTTTCTCTTGCATCTCGTACCACCTGTGGTTAAGCCTTTCTCTTGCATCTCGCACCACCTGTGGTTAAGCCTTTCTCTTGCATCTCGCACCACCTGTGGTTAAGCCTTTCTCTTGCGCTTGCCTGCCCGCCTCACTCCTTCCCTGCGCGCTCCTGCCTTGTGCCTTGTGCCCCGTGCGTTGTGGCTGATGGGTGCAGGGGGTGCTGCTGATCGGCCCACCAGGCACGGGCAAGACGCTGCTCGCCAAGGTGCCTCCCTCTGCTGCCCCACCCTCTCCTCTGCATTCCTCTCTTGCATCACTCTCCCTCCCCTTCCGTCCTCCCCATCTCCGTCCAATCTCCGTTGCCTGTCTCCCTGACACGCCCCACACCCGCACACTACGCTCACCTGCTTCCTCTGCTCGCCCTCGTCCCTCCTCGTGGTAACCCCTGCTGTGCATGTGCGTGTGCATGTGCGTGTGCATGTGCGTGTGCATGTGCGTGTGCATGTGCGTGTGCATGTGCGTGTGCATGTGCATGTGCATGTGCGTGTGTGTGCATGTGCGTGTGCATGTGCGTGTGCGTGTGCGTGTGCGTGTGTGTGTGCATGTGCGTGTGCATGTGCATGTGCGTGTGCATGTGCATGTGCATGTGCGTGTGCGTGTGCATGTGCATGTGCGTGTGCATGTGCATGTGCATGTGCGTGTGCGTGTGCATGTGCATGTGCGTGTGCGTGTGCATGTGCATATGCGTGTGCGTGTTCATGTGCGTGTGCGTGTGCATGTGCATGTGCGTGTGCATGTGCATGTGCATGTGCGTGTGCATGTGCGTGTGCATGTGCACGTGCGTGTGCGTGTGCATATGCGTGTGCATGTGTGCGTGCGCGTGCGTGGGGCGGGGCGGGGCGGCAGGCCATAGCGGGCGAGGCGGGGGTGCCCTTCTTCTACCGCGCCGGCTCTGAGTTCGAAGAGATGTGCGCCCTGGGGGGGGGGAGAGGGGGAGACAGGGGGAGGGCAAGAGGGGAGGGGGCAGGGGGAGGGGCAGGGGGAGGGACAGGGGAGGGGACAAGGGGCACAGGGGGCACAGGGCTGGGCGTGTGCATGGAAAGTGGAGACGAGGGGAGGAGGGGGAAAGGACAGATGTCTTATATTTTCTGATGCTGCTTACGCTCGCACCATGTTGTGACTTCTGATGTGTCTCATTCCATTAGTGCCACTGCCATCGTGCCATGCCATGGCAGGTTCGTGGGAGTGGGGGCAAGGCGGGTGCGCACCTTGTTTCAAGCGGCCAAGAAGAAGGTCAGTCACCGCCCTGCCACATCACCCTGCCACATCACCCTGCCACATCACCCTGCCACATCACCCTGCCTCATCGCCCTGCCACTCACCGCCCTGCCACATCACCCCACATCACCCTGCCACATCACCCTGCCTCATCGCCCTACCACTCGCCGCCCTGCCACATCACCCTGCCACATCACCCTGTCACATCACCCTGCCACATCACCCTGCCTCATCGCCCTGCCACTCACCGCCCTGCCACATCACCCCACATCACCCTGCCACATCACCCTGCCACATCACCCTGCCTCACCGCCCTGCCACTCACCGCCCTGCCACTCACCGCCCTGCCACATCACCCTGCCACACCACCCTGCCACATCACCCTGCCACATCACCCTGCCACATCACCCTGCCACATCACCCTGCCACATCACCGTGCCTACGATGTTGCTTCACAAGGTGTTGGCGTCGAAACGTGTCTGTGGTTGAAAGTGGTGCGTTTCGTTCTGACTCCAATGCACTCCCAGGCCCGACTCCAGAAGATCCTCATGCACCCTCATCATGGCCCTATGCTCTCTTTTGAGAATTCTCAAAAGTGATTCCAGAAGATCCTCATGCACCCTCATCAAGGCCCTATGCTCTCTTTTGAGAATTCTCAAAAGTGATTCCAGAAGATCCTCATGCACCCTCATCAAGGCCCTATGCTCTCTTTTGAAAGTTCTCAAAAGTGATTCCAGAAGATCCTCATGCACCCTCATCAAGGCCCTATGCTCTCTTTTGAAAGTTCTCAAAAGTGATTCCAGAAGATCCTCATGCACCCTCATCATGGCCCAATACTCTCCTCCCTCCCTGCGTTCCATCCCATGTGCCCTGTGTGTCCCCCATGCGGTGCGGTGCGGTGTGGTGCTGGCAGGCGCCGTGCATAGTGTTCATAGATGAGATTGACGCGGTGGGGGGCAGTCGCAAGCAGTGGGAGGGGCACAGCAAGAAGACGCTCAACCAGCTGCTCGTTGAGATGGACGGCTTCGAACCCAACGAGGTCAACCCCACTGCCGCCTCCGCCTCCGCCTCCGCTGCTGCTGCTGCTGCTGCTGCTGCTGCTGCAATCACCAGCATGTTGCTGCTGCTTCCCTTGGAGTCATGAAGGTCTCTGAAGCACAATCCCCTCCTCTCTCCGCTCCTCTATGCAACCCCTGTGCGTGGTGTGTGCATGGGCCGTGGTGCATGGTCGCATGGGCCGTGGTGCATGGTCGCATGGGCCGTGGTGCATGGTCGCATGGGCCGTGGTGCATGGTCGCATGGGCTGTGGTGCATGTGGTGGCACGGGCATGGGCATGGCATGGCACGGCAGGGCATAATAGTGATGGCGGCCACCAACGTGCCGGACATGCTCGACCCCGCCCTCACCCGCCCCGGCCGCTTCGACCGCCACGTGAGCGCACAGGGAGGGGGAGGGGAGAGGGGGTGTAGGCAGGGTGATTTGAGATGACGGCGTGGGGGATGGAGTGCAGGGGAGCATAGTGGGTGGGAGCAACCTGTCACATGTTATCCACTCTTTCCTCTCATTCCTTTCCATCGCTCTTCCCTCGTTACCATTTGTGTTGTGCATGCGGGCTTAAGTTGTCCCTGCGTCCGTCTCTGTATGTGCGCATGTGTGGGTGCATGTGCGCATGCCTGCACGTGTGAATGCGTGTGTGAGCGGCGGTGCGGCCCATGAGCAGGTGGTGGTGCAGGCACCGGACATGCGGGGCAGGAGGGAGATCCTGGAGCTGTACCTGGAGGGCAAGCCGCTGCACGCTGATGTGGACGTCGCCACTCTCGCCAAGGGCACTCCCGGCTTCAGTGGGGCAGGTGGGGTGCCCACGTGGGCTGTGGGGCAGGTGGGCAGTGGGGGAGGTGGGCAGTGGGGGAGGTGGGCAGTGGGGGAGGTGGGCAATGGGGGAGGTGGGCAGTGGGGGAGGTGGGCAGTGGGGGACGTGGGCAGTAGGGAAGGTGGGGTGTGGGGGAGGTGGGGTGTGGGGGAGAGAGGGATGGTGAAGGGCTAGGCAGAGCGTGGAGCAGCAGGGCACGGAAGCACATGCAAGTCTGCTCAACGCTGGAACCTCTCGTCCCTCGTCTCACCTCTGTCCTGCCCGTCTCTTCCCCCCCTTGTCCTGTGTGTGCTCGCAGACCTGGCGAATCTGGTGAACATGGCGGCGGTGAAGGCGGCGCTGGACGGCGTGGCGGCGGTGGGGCGGGAGCAGCTGGAGTTCGCCAAAGACAAGATCCTCATGGGGGCCGAGCGCCGCTCCCTCGTGCTCTCCCAGGCTTGTCGCAAGGTGTGTGTGTGCGTGTGGCCAGGGCATGGGCGCCTCGTGGGTGGGCAAGGAGCAGCTGGAGTTCGCCAAAGACAAGATCCTCATGGGGGCCGAGCGCCGCTCCCTCGTGCTCTCACAGGCCTGCCGCAAGGTGCGTGTGTGCAGCGCCGTTCGGGGATGGGGGCTTGGTGGGTGCGGCAAGGGGATGGGAGCGTGGTGGGTGGTGCTGCTGCCACGGGTGATGGGTGAGCCGGTTGCCACGGCCTGGCAGTTGCTGTGTGTTTCTCCACACCACCGTGCACTCACTCTCTTTCTCAACTCCCCACTTCCCTTCCTGGAGGCAGAACACGGCGTACCACGAGAGTGGGCACGCGCTGGTGGCGCTGCACACGCCGCACGCGCTGCCCATCCACAAGGCCACCATCATGCCGCGCGGGGCCGCGCTGGGCATGGTCACGCAGATGCCCGATGAGGACTTTGAGACGAGCCGCACGCGCGCGCAGATGCTGGCGCGGCTGGACGTGTGCATGGGGGGGCGCGTGGCGGAGGAGGTGGTGTTCGGCGCGCAGCACGTCACCAGCGGGGCGCGGGACGACCTGCGGCAGGCCACGCGGCTGGCGCGGCAGATGGTGCGCGAGTGCGGCATGAGCGACAAGCTGGGGCCCGTCTTCATTGACGGCGACGGCGCGGGGGAGGGGCGCGTGAGCGGCGAGGTGCTGCGCGTGGCGGATGCGGAGGTGGCACGGCTGCTCAGAGAGGCGTACGCACGCGTCACCACCCTCCTCAAGCAGGTGCGCGTTGCCCTCATCCTTGAAACTATGCGCCCTGCTCTCTGGATTTAAACCCTGTGCGTTCTCCATGCCACTGCATGCTGTACGTTTTCCCCCTCACTGCCCCTTCTTGCGCCGGTCAACTCTCACATGCCCTTGTGTGTGGGCATGTGGCAGCACGAGCAGCAGCTGCATGTGCTGGCAGCAGCGCTGTTGGAGCGCGAGACAATGACAGCCGACGACATCAAGAAGCTCCTCGCCTCCCCTGCCACTGCCACTGCCACTGCCACTGCCACTGCCCTCTCGCCTGCCGCCGCTGCGACTAATGCCGATGATCTCTCCAGGCCACTCACCCCAGCAGACCTCCAAGCACTCCCATCTGCTCTCTCTGCAGCGCCTGCTGCTTTCTCCGCTGCCTCACCTCCCTCCCACGACTCTGCTGCACCCGTGCCTGCTGCATGCTGACCTTGATGGATGATTTTCAACCAATCGTGTTCCACCACCAGCCTCATATGAAATAGAGTAAAGAATCGGTAGAAGCTTCTTGCCGTCTTTTGTCTCCTGGTTTGATTGGCATTTCTGCAGCTGCGCTGCATGGTAGTAGCACAATCTGTAAAAAATCAAGAACACTGCTGTGAGCAACATACAGGTACAAACAAATAACTACTGTTTTTATAACGGCTGGAAGTGTGAGTGACACTTCAATACGGCTGGTAAAAAATTGACGGAGCTGGTTACTGAAAGGTGCACTGTTGGTTGACTGCCCGTGAATAAGGTTACCGTAATCCCCCGGACAAAAGACCCTAGGGTCTTTTAATGATTAAAAAAAAATCGAGGGGGGTATGTATAAATGGTACAAATATTATAAAAGACCAGGACGAGGTGTCAAACTCATACCGTGATCTCCCGGTTAGAAGACCCGGAGGTCTTCTCCTAAATATGATAATTTTTTAAAGTCTATTCACTTTCTAAAATTTTGTATTGTGATAGTGAAGCGATTGCCAACGCAGCAAAGGCAGCGTCGCATCGCTACTCGCCCTCTTTTGGCTACAAAAGAGGGGTTGGAGGCCATTTGGCCTCACCCACGTTCTTCTTTTCAGATTTTTAGTTTGACCCCGTCCCTCCCCCGCCGCTCTTCCTCGCGCCAGGTCCTCCCCCGGTAGACCCCCTCCCCCCTCAGGGTCCTGCCCCCTCAGGTGTGTCCCAGGTAGATGCAGTCGAGCCCGTCGAGGTAGCTGTTGACTCTCGTGCTGCTAGGGGTGCTGCGTCTGGGGGTGCTGCGCCTGGAGGTGCTGCGTCTGGGGGTGCTGAGCGTGAGGGTGCTGGGCCTGCGCGTGAGGAGTTTGAAGGTGCTGCGCCTTGTGGTCCTTCGGGTGTTTTGTCCCGGCGGGAGCCACTCTCACCACGGCAGCTGCGCGAGTGGTTTGCTCGCCGCTGGAGCCGTGCTGCTGGAGCTGGTGGTGCTACGGGCGCTGGAGGTCCTGCTTCTACTGGAGTTGCTGAGGGTTCTGGAGCCACTAGTCCCGGAGGTGCTCGTACTGGAGGTACTGGAGCTGCTGGGCCTGGGGGTGCTGCTGGTGCTGGTGCTGCTGGGGGGACTGGAGCTGGCGCTACTGGAGCTACTGAGGCTTCTGGTGGTCCTGCTGGCGCTGGAGCTGCTGGAGCTACTGGAGGTACTGGAGCTGCTGGAGGTACTGGAGCTGCTGGAGGCACTGGAGTTGCTGGAGGTGGTGCTAGAGCCGGTGCTTCTGGGGGTGCTGGAGTTGGTGCTGCAGGAGCTGCTGGAGGTCCTGGTGGAGCTGGTGGTGCTGCTGGAGTTGGCGCTGACACTGGGGGTGCTGGTGCTGTCCCTGCTGGTTCTGGAGGCGCTGCGCGGCCGCGGCCGTACTTCGTTCCGCTCCTTCAGCAGGTTCGTGGTCTCCCGCTTTCTACTGGTCCTGCTCCTTCCTTAGAGTGTCCACCGCCTGTCCAGTCCCAGTTACAGTTACAGCCTGCCTCCCCACTGCCTGCTCCCTCTCCTTACACTGGTCCTACCGGGGGTCTTGCTGAGCGTCGTGAGCCTGAGTCTCGTCCTGCGTCACCTGTTCGTGTTGCTCGCACTGGTCGTCGTGTTCCGCGTCAGCGTCCTCCTGCTGTCCCAGGCACGCACCAGATGGCACTGCGTCCTTCCACTGCTCCGCAGCGTGTCCCTCTGCCGTCTCCTCCTGTGTCCTCTCTTCCTGCTCTTGCTGACCCAGAGTCTGACTCCCTTCGTGCTACCAGTCCTACTGTCACGCGTCTCCTGGCCACTGTAGTCACTGACCCTTCCTTTGAGTCCACTGCTGCGTCTGCCTTAGTTGCTGAGCTTGTCGACTTCGCTGCTCACTGTCGTCTAGACTACGCCGCTAGTCTTGTTGCTGAGTCTGAGTCTGTCTGTCCTCCGTCCGTCGGGGGTGAGTGTGCTCTTAGCACGGATGTCCTTGAGGACAGGCAGGAGGAGTTCCAGTGTTTTGCTGCTGCTTTACCTCATCTCGTGTCCATGCTGCTTGCCCCTGCGGGAGACCCGGATGCACCAGACATCCCGACCCCGCGCTCTTACGCAGAGGCGATAGAGGGTCCCTAATCCTCTCAGTGGCAGTCAGCCATGGACGCAGAGATGGCTTCCTGGAAGTCCACAAGCACCTACGTCGACGAGGTTCCCCCTCATGGGGCGAACATCGTCAGTGGCATGTGGATTTTCAGGGTGAAGCGGCCGTCGGGTTCTCCGCCTGTCTTCAAGGCGCGTTACGTGGCTCGATGCTTCAGTCCGGCAGGGAGTTGACTACTTTCAGACCTTCTCTCCCACCCCGAAGATGACCACTCTTCGGGTGCTGCTGCACATAGCCGCTCAGCGCGACTACGAGCTTCACTCTCTTGACTTTAGCACTGCTTTCCTACAGGGCAGCCTGCACGAGGAGATTTGGCTGAGCCGCCCACCTGGCTTCACTGGGTCGTTTCCTCCTGGTACCCAGTGGAGCCTCCGGCGGCCAGTCTACGGTCTCCGCCAGGCGCCCCGTGAGTGGCACGACACACTGAGGACTACGCTTGCGGCCCTTGGGTTTGCTCTTTCCACTGCTGGCCCGTCGCTGTTTCTACGCACCGACACCTCGCTGCCGCCGTTCTACATCCTCGTGTACGTCGACGACTTGGTCTTTGCTACTGCTGACACTGCTGGACTCGCCCACGTGAAGTCCGAGCTGCAGAAGAGACACACGTGCACAGACCTGGGTGAACTGCGCAGCTATCTTGGCTTGCAGATCACCCGGGACAGAGCATGGCGCACCATTACCTTGACTCAGTCACACATGGTGCAGCAGGTCCTTCAGCGCTTTGACTTCACGCACTCCTCGCCTCAGGCCACTCCTCTGTCTACTCGCCACTCGCTCTCAGCTCTGTCTTCGGATGAGTCCGTAGAGCCGAGTGGCCCGTACCCAGAGCTTCTTGGCTGCCTCATGTACGTGATGACCTGCACTCGACCTGACCTGGCATACCCTATTAGCATCTTGGCACGCTATGTTGCTCCTGGGAGACACCAACCAGAGCACATGGCTGCAGCGAAGAGGGTGTTGCACTACTTGTGCAGTTCGTCGGGCATGGGGCTCGAGCTTGGAGGGCGGAGTTCAGTGGTCCTCACTGGTCACGCAGACGCGTCTTGGGTTGACGACTTGGCTACGCAGCGGTCGTCACAGGGTTACACCTTCAGCCTTGGTTCCGGCTCTGTTTCGTGGCGGTCTACCCGCTCGTCTTCTGTTCTCTGCTCCAGCTGTGAGGCTGAGATCTACGCAGGGGCCATGGCTGCACAGGAGTTACGCTGGCTCACCTACCTACTGACTGACCTGGGAGTGCCGCCTCGTTCTCCTCCAGTTCTGTACGTAGACAACAAGGCCATGCTGGCCTTGTGTCGGGAGCACAGACTGGAGCACAGAACAAAGCACATTGCTCTTCGCTACTTCCTTGCTCATGAGCTGCAGCAGCGTGGTCAGCTGCGCCTTGCTTACGTGGCCTCTCGGGCCAACACTGCTGATATCTTCACCAAGGCACTTTAGCCTTGTGATCATCAGCGCTTCTGTACTATGTTAGGTCTCTGTGAAAGTTTAAGAGGAATTAAGAAGAAGGAGGGTTGCACTAGCAAGAATGAGGATACAAATAGCAAACCCTAGAAGGGTTGTACTCGCTATAGAGCACCCCACTACAGGCTAGAGCATAATATTCTGACACACCCCCATAGCCAAAGTGGGGTGTAATCAGCAGAGCAAGCAAAGCAGTACAAGCTCAGGGTGGATCACAATGTCACCACACATTCTGAGCACAAGTTCAAGAAGCAATAGTTTAAAGTTTACAATTATGAGCAAAGCTAGAGGCTATCGCAGAGGGCAAGTGAGGAGGAGGAGAGACTGTGGGGGAGAGAAGATGGGAGGCGACTGCTGACGCTGCAGACACACAGACGAGCTGCTGGCTCAGTGGCTACCGGAACAACGCTCCGGACTACTGGGGTAACTGGCCCCGCGGCTAAAAGTAGCGGCAGACGAGCAACGGACCCACGGGCGACTGGCGACTACCGGAGATTGTAGCCTCCGGACTGCTGCTGCTGCTGACGACAAGACTGCTGCCTCCACTCGACCTCCCCCAAACAGTACCACCCCTCCTGACACACACCCGCTGCTACACCGCTAGCTCCACTCCCCCTTCACCCCCCCTTAGCACCACTCCAACGGCTCCAACAAGTCCACCCCCCCTCAGCGGCAGCTGCAGCACAGGGAGACGGAGGAGGAGGAGGAGCAGGGAACGGCACACAGTAGTTTCACCCCCATACCCCTCACCCCCAAACCCTAATTCAGGAGAACGGGCTGTAGGAGGGGTGGGGCGCCAGCAGAAGCACGGGGGACAGCGGGGAGGGCAGGGGCAGCGAGGAAAGGGCCGCCCACGGGCCTGGCACAGCCTCCCGAACCGCGCGCGGGCCTGGCGCAGCCCGTACGGGCCGCGCGCGGGCCTGGCGCAGCCCGTACGGGCCGCGCGCGGGTCTGGCGCAGCCCGTACGGGCCGCGCGCGGGCCTGGCGCAGCCCGTACGGGCCGCGCGCAGGCCTGGCGCAGCCCGTACGGGCCGCGCGCCGGCTGTACGGGCCGCGCGCAGGCCACGACGGGCGACGGGGGGCGACGCGCGGGTCCCCGTCGCCCGTCGCAGCGCCTCCCGAGGGCGACGCGGCGAGTGACGGGGTAGAAGCCCGCCGCGCGCCTCGGGGCGCACAGCGGGCAGAGAACCGCCGCGCGCCACGGGGCGCACGGCGGGCAGAAAACCGCCGCGCGCCTCGGGGCGCACGGCGGGAAGAAAAACTGCCGCACGCCACGGGGCGTGCGGCACAGAAGGTAGTAGTGGAAGTTGCAGCGGAAGCAACGAGGTGGTGAGCCCACCCACAGGATCGATCCAAGGGGATCGACCTGCTCTGAT